TTGGGAGGTCTGATCTTTTTAAGTTCTTTATAGATTCGAGATAGTAGATCTTTGTCTGAGGAAGAGCAGGTGAAGATTTTTTCCCACATTGTGGGTTGTCAGGAAGAGAATATTCTTAAATGAGAAGTTTGAACTAAAACTGAAAGTTTTCAAAAATATCACCTACTGATTTAACATAATAAAAAATATGTGTGTATACATTTAGTTTTTTCAACAAGTATAGAAGAAAATAATATGAAAATTTTCAATTTTTTCAGGATAGCAATTATTTAGGAAAAATTTTATATACATTTCTCTGAAAATATGTAGAACAATTAACAGGCTCAAGAAAATCAGAAAATATCTACTCTCATGATATTAATTAGCTACTTATTAATTTATTTATGCCCCATCTGATTTTGTTAAAAGCTAATTTGAAGTGGCTTAAAGAGACAGAAACATTTTTAAATGAAGAAATATGAAGAAAAGAAAAATATAGGTAGAAAAGTAAGATGAAGAGGTTATGTACAAGGGAATGGAAAACAAAGACAATACCAAGGACAAGCTGTTCAATCTATCTGGATATCAGATGTCTGCTAGAGACATTTTTAGCTATGCTAGCAGAGACAGAAACCCCAAAGGAGCAAAGAAAAAATTAAGATTACTTTGGAATTACTGGAATCTTATAAAATTATCTTTAGAGTATTTCTGAAACCATTAAGTCCAATTGTGCTACATTAGGAGCACAATATTTTATGCAAACTGAATGTGTATTGGTAAAACTTGTTTTAGAGTGAACCTTAAGATTGCTGAGATGCATTTAAGAACACTTACGAACTTATTAAGGAATATATCAGTTAGACTGTAATTTTCATGGAAATTCTGAGAATCTACAAAAACTAATTCAGTGGTGATTTTGCTTTGTATTGAACGTTACTATGTCTAAATTTTTTTTAAAAACTGTCTTTATTGGGCCGGGGATTTAGCTCAGTGGTTCCGGCGCCTGCTGCACAAGTGCAAGGACCCGAGTTCGATCCCCGGTACCAAAAAAAAAAAAACCAAAAACTGTCTTTATCTATTTTATCTGTTTATCTCTTTTATCTACCAAAGGAATTAATCATGTTTACAAATTCTACATTTAATCACAGGGAGATGCTAATGTTCAAAACATCATCTTTATAACTCTCTTTTTGTAACTGCCTGTATAATTGATAAGTTATAAGTAGAAAAACCTCATTGTGAGTTTGCTTTATTGCTATTACCAGCTTAAACCACTTAATTAATTATAATTGGATTTGAATTAATGAAGTCCAGTATGTATTAAAGATCAAAGATTTACCACCAGGGCTTTGTTCTTAGGGCAACTCCAAAAGAAAGTTTTAAAATAAAATGAGGGAGTAGGAGCTACTGTATGGATTTATGGGAAGTACAGCTTCCTTGTGTCTGCTGGGTATATGATTTCACTCACTCTAGATGAGTTAGCTACATTGCCTTAGTCTGTAATACACGCCTCTATGAACAGTGCTGCTTATTGCTAGAAATTGTTAGATATTTCTTCAAAAATATGCGGTCATTAATTATCACATTTGATATTTTTACAATTTTCCCTTTTTAAAATTTTGTCACATAGTTATCTCTAGATGTTTTCTTTCCCAAAATAAGCATAAAAATGTGTTTAAATTCACTATCCTAATTACTGAAAAATTTCACATAAAAAACTCTAAGTATATATGTAGAATTTATTTTGCTTAATTTTCCTCAAAGCAAATGAAACAATATAGTGCATCATTGGTGAAAAGCATTGCGTTTCGCATAAGACTTTAAAGAAAGTGCTTGCATCTATTAAGAATATGACATTATTTCCTGTGTTTGTCACACTAAGGCAGTCTGGCATAGAAGTAAAAGACTTTGGAAGAAGCTGGAGAAGTGGGGTAGCCTTTCATTCAGTTATCCATGCCATTCAACCCACGCTGGTGGACTTAGAGAAGGTGAAAAGCAGATCTAACAGAGAAAATCTGGAGGACGCGTTCTCTATTGCTGAAACACAATTGGGCATCCCAAGACTGCTAGATCCTGAAGGTACATTGAATAACTATTGAGAGTACAAACACACACCATAGTATATGTGTATGTATTAAACTCAGAAATTGCATGACTTTTTAGAGTCCCCATAAGGGGACAGAGAGCTGGAGAAAAGTGGGAAGAAATAATATCTTTCTGTGCCAATTTTCTTCTGCATAAATACTTGCCCACATATTTGAGAATAAAATATAATGACTCTTTTATGGCATTAATGCATCAGCTGGGTGAGCTGGATTTAATATACTTAAGTTTGGAATAAAAGCTTTAGGAGTGTGTGTATGGGGGAGAAGAGTGTGGCAGGATAAATTATTACTCTATGTCTCCAAAGGATCTAGAAGAAATAGAAGATTACTAGTAATCTAAAATCATATCTTTAAAATGGCAGTAACCATTCCAATGTTTTGGTTTCTATCATCCTAACAGGCCAAATGGTTCACTGACATTTTTCATTCCAAGTGTTTGGCACATTTTTGGTAAGGCTGTGAATTTTAAGATCTACAAATGGAGTTAACCTCTTTCAAGGCTTCAAAAGACAATTCTGGTGCCTTTAGTAAATTAGTTTGTTGCATTGAAATAAAAGCATCAAAGGGAATTTTCCAAATGTCATAATTTATTACTTTGGTTGGCAATTACAGGAATCGATTAGTAAATGTACAGTGAAAATAAATTTTTGTTTAAACTTGGGATTTTATAATGAACTTTGTTTAGCTTGAAAACAAAAAAAATACTCTTACAGATCCATGAGAAAGTTATAGAACTCTGGTTGGGCTTCCGCTGAGACCGGAGGCCTCGTCAGGCTCCCTTCCCCAGCAGGATCCTCCTGTGCCCTCCCCACGTTCATCAGCATAGTCCAGGCTGATTGTTTCTGTATAAGAAAGCTCAGGGAGAAATTGCTCAGAAATCCCAGCCATAGGCTACAAAGGATATAATAGAGTCAGAACTTTTCCTAGTGTAGGATGAAAGCCGATCATAAAAAGTTTGCCCAAATACAAGGCTATCACCAATACAAGGTGATCCTTTATTTTCCAAATAAAAATTGCCCTCTCAAAAGTTATTTAGCCAACTTGAATGTATAAATGTTTAGGGTAGAGATTAAACAGAGCAATAACTATACTTATAAAAATTATTTTATAGTTTATGTACATATATATTGAACAGTACACAGTATGTTAAGTAATATCTTCCACGTTGTTTTCTCTTTCACTTTCACATTTCATGAAAGAGTCTCATTCATTCTTCACATGCTTCTTGAGTATCAACCAATGATTATCTCATTTCTTTTAGGGTTTTTTGTGGGGGTTTTTTTGTTGGGTTTTTTTGAGACAAGGTCTTGCTATGTAGTTCAGGCTGGCCTGAACTCTCTATGTACCCCAGGCTGACCTTGAACTCATGGTGATCCTCCTGTCTCAGCCTTCTGAGTGCTAGGATTACAGGTGTGCACCACCACACCCAGCCTAATCATCTCATTTCTAAAATCACCTTTAAATCATTTAAATCATTTTAGCATTAAGCAATGCCAAAAGCATTATTTTTTTTGTTTCCTTTTAAATCAAGTGACTTGCAACAATTTAAAAATACATTAATATCTCAATCAGAAGGATTCTTTATAAAATATTATGATAGTTTTGTATTTTGACTATGGTGTTTTGGGTTTGTTTACTTTGCTCTTGGCCATATACATACTTGGCAAAATGTTATAATTTTTATTGCCTTTAAATGGATATTTTAAACACTTGTTTATAACATGTGACATTGTCTAGCTACTAAATCTTTAAAAATTTCTTTTCCTGATTTATGGTACTGATTTTATCAGGTAAATATCTATAGTTTCAAAGCCACATTGAAACATTTTTCAGGCAGTGTCTCCCTCAAAGAGTACTTGATTGTTTCAAAGTTCAGTGATTCAGACAGAATGCTCCACAGGGAAGACCAAAGAAATCAAATATTCTTCTAAAGCAATAGTTGTGGGGGCATGTGGCTTACCTATATCTGCCTGTAAAGAATAGTATGCAAGTGGTCTGCCATTCAGCATTTTTATACTTCCTCCTCACCCCAATTCTAAACTTGTCATACTATTTGTATTTAACTACATCAAATATCTGAGGAACTATACAACATCTCAGATGTTTGATAAATTGACATTAACATTACTTAAAAGAAAAATGTGCTATTTTCCCCAAAGCTCTTTGTTAAAATGTGTCATCTTCTTGCATTATAAAAATTTCCACCATTAGATTAAAATTATATTCTTCTTCCCCCTGAAAAATTTAATAGTAATTTTATTTTCCTTCTGCACTGAGTACATTTTACAATACCTGGATTCAAAATTTGAATTATTTAAACTCACTGAATGCTAATGAGCTTATTCATATTTTATTTTGTTTTTTCCAGATGTTGATGTAGATAAACCAGATGAGAAGTCTATTATGACCTATGTGGCCCAGTTTCTGAAACATTACCCTGACATCCTCGATGCAGGCACTGATGGACAAGAGAATGATGTAGGTATTTGTTTTCTTTAACCACTGGTGATGTACTCAATGAGAGTGGTTCAGCTTTTTATAGATACTGTTTTCAAAAAAATAATTTGGAATGCATTCTAACTGAGAAAGAGACAGCTATCACCAAATGGAGAGGTAATTCGTTGAAAAAGTTTCCCTGGTTTGTGTGTTGGATATGTCAGAGGGTACACTGCTAATAAATGATAGATATGTGATGCTGATCAATTATAACTGAGAAAAGACAGCAGTGGGGGGAAATCCACTGTAGTACACTGAGGACTGAAGTGATTTTACTTCCATTACGTTATTGACCTTGAGTCTTCTTGTTATATTTGCTTGGACAAAATCTAATTTTGACTTACAGCTTTCAAATGATGAATGATGTATATTCATTGTCATAAATGAAAAAATATGAGAGAAAAGGAGAAAAATTATCTGTGACAGGGGAAAATTTAATATGATAGTGTTAATTCTCAATATTCTTGTATGTTTATATAGATACATCATATTTTAACAAAAATAGCACCATAGAATCCACACAATTGAATAATCTTTTTATTAAAAGTGTGAAGAACTAAGCAGATAATCATGTGTATGTACAATAGTTTATCCAAACAGTTGTTAGAAATTTCTAATATTTTTGTTATTATGACAATCATGTAATAAACCCTGGTAAAGTTTTTTCTCAGACATGGAATTCTTAGGCCAAAGGACATGTATAATTTAATCCATTTTGAAATAGTTTTCAAATTACCTGTAGAAAACTTGTCTCATTTTGTAATTCACCCAGGATGCCAGAATGCCTAGTTTCCCATATGCAACAATTGATATGACCATTGTTTTAATATTTTTGAAATTGCATTGGGTTTTTTTATTATACAAGAGTGGATTCACTGCTGAACTTAAAATTAATTATAAGTCAAAATAGTTTCAGGGAAAATAATAATTGGAAGTTTCAGGAATTTTTATAACTGCCTGTTTCTATTGCTCAGATCTCAAGTGGGGTTTTGAAGTAGTTTGAAGTTACAATGGAGAATGATAAGAAAAATAAAACTTTTAAAATATATTTTCCAAAGACTTAGAAATATGCCTAAGGTAGGCAAAGGTCAATGTAGCATAACCTAAAGTTTTAAAGTAGGAAAAGGTATTACACTAATATTTAAAAATCAGTCAGTTTATGAAAGAATTAAGCAAAACAAAGGTAATTGGTCTTTCCTAGGTCTCTTGGATGAAATTAATATGACATTTGAGAGAACTTTGCTAGCTTCTTTTAAAAACTATGGTTTCAGGAAGCCCTTTTTGTTTCTTGGTAGGATTCTGACCCAAACATTGACCACCATAGTAATTTATCTATAGTTAGTAAAGCAAATATTCCTAGGAAGCACCTCAAAAGGCTGAAGCAAAGACTATATGCACATTTAGCACAGATTGACGCAAGTAGTTTGGATTTGCTGGGGCTCTGTGTTCCGCCAGTATAGATGAACATGGTGCTGCTGTATGAATAAGAGACTCTATAAGAAAACATATCAGACTCACCCTATGAAGCACAGAAAAAGTCAGGTTTCAGTATGATGTTCATACCAAAGCCCTTAAGTTATCGAGATAGATTTTCATTTGGTTTTGTTTCTGATTTTTTGCACTGTTCTTATTTCTCTCACATTAATCTACTCACCAGATAAGTAAACTGTGACCGGAAATGTGTAAGAAACAAAAGATGTTTTAGATAGTCCCCATGAGAAAGAGTTCAATGCCAAAAATCCTTAGACATATGAAATACACATACTCTTGATAAAAGCTTATTAATATACTTCACCAAAGAATTAAAAGTAATACTTAAGAGGTTAACTTAATTATCTAGAAGATAAATTTTGATCTTAAATCCCTCCATCACTTTTCTAAAATCCAGATGTATATGACTTCTTCCAGAGTACCTCAAAATTAATTTTGAGGTAAATATATTGTAAGATGTACCCTTTTTGTGATGTTTATAATGTAGGGCATACATATCTAAAGCTGAATGTTTTTGATTTAAAAAATAATTATTTTATTGTGTAGGGCTTCTTTGTTCATATAGTTAGCAGTCCCCTTCCTATATTCAGTGAACTTTTAGGACTTTACAGCTCACAAATGTTAGAGTGATTGGTACTGTCCACCTAGAATATTCAGTATTTGTCTACCCAGGACATGGTAAATCTCTTGATCCATTTTTTAAAATCTTGGAATCAACATATCGACCAGGCTTGGGGGGATTTTATTTCTATATTCCTTTATTTGTGATTCTATTTTATGGATACTATTTTAAATATAATGCTCTTACTGACAGTAGACTTTGCCATGCTTTTCTTCAACCAATAAAACCGACAAAGAAACGTTTTTCGTTAAGATATTCCTTGAATTGAAAATGATCAAGTTTCCCCCCAAACAATCTATTATGTGTCACAATAATACAGTAATAAAAAGATATTTCTTTTGTGATTAGTACTTAGTCTTAAATAAATAAAATGAATCTATTTGCTTTTCTGTCTTTCCTAGTAAAATTTCAGGGTTTTTTATCCATCCTTTCTTCCGTTATAGCAAATACTCCTCAGTGATCTTAGAAGCACAATACAGTCATCACTGTGATGGGGCTCACAGACATGCACACAGCTAGATTATTTTCAGGAAAAATACTATGTACTTCTCCTTTACATAGGTCTCCTTCTAAAATGTTTAATGTTATTTCAAAACTCATTTCTGAACTATATGTGTATTGCTACACAGGAATATTCCAAATTCAAATAAAAAAATCTTTTCCCAAAAGATTGGGAAAAGTGCATTGACTTATTGGAAGTTACAAAAACATCTTAAAATATTTACACCTTTAAAATTATTGCTGTTTATAGACAGTTGCCTCTCCATTGATTTTCATGTTTCCTCTATAATTTTTGTTCCTGATTCATATTATGTTTGTATATATTATCTTTTCATATTGTTAGGAAATACTTCAAGTTTTCCCATCTTTTGCAAATTCTATCCAAAATTATAAGGTAAGATCTAAATAATCTTGAATTAGTGCCCTATTGCATATATTATATGTTCTGTAGCTTTCTAGCCATTCCTTTGCATGTATTTGTCCTTATGTATACATTTCTTTTAATATCTCAATCATGTTAGTTCCTTTTCCTTCTAACAGAACAAATAACCTGCCTGTGTGTTCTTAAATGTTAGTGACAGTCTAAGCCCCTCCCATGGATTTGCCCACTAATCTTTAATTATAAGACAGTATCAGTTAATTTTTAAACACTTAACAACACTGATAAAAATTATGCAATAACTATGTTTGATTTATTGAAATGTGACATGAAGAAACAATGTTAAAAGTTTATTTTTGTACCTTAAAATATTAAACAGAGGGCCGGGGATTTAGCTCAGTGGTTTCGCTGCCTGCTGCGCAAGCGCAAAGACCCGAGTTGGATCCCTGGTACCAAAATATATATATATATACATATATACATGTATATATATAGCAGAAAAGGGTAAGTACTCCAAACTAGTTCATCAGTATGAGTTTCTTCACATCTCTTCTGCTCAGTATCAGGTCACATGGTTTAGTAAAGTTCAGAATATAAAATATGTGCTCAAAAATACTTGCAAAATGAATGGTTTTAAATTCTTGCTCATTCTAAATTATTGAGTCCCTATCCTATATTTCAATCTTTCTTTATATTAGATTTAGGCCTGGGTTAAATATCTATAAATACAGCAGACTTTATGCGAACACTAGTGTAGAAAATCAGAAGTAACAATTTAATGTCAAATATTAAATTAATTTTATCTCATACTCCACATGAAGCATAAATATATATCTGGCACACAAAAACATAAATGTGCCCCTGTGTGTGTGTGTGTGTGTGTGTGTGTGTGAGAGAGAGAGAGAGAGAGAGAGAGAGAGAGAGAGAGAGAGAGAAGAAAGCTGCTTGGAGCTTAGGTGATCTGTAGGCAAGTAGAACCCATGTTGTTTGAATGCATGTGAAAATTACCAATTGAAAAAATTCACTAATGGATTCTGAGACTATTGTTTTGCACTTCATTTTCCTCTTACAAAAGACAGTGTTGTGTGTATAAAGAGTTATATCTCTTACCTTTTGCAATTTGCTTAACACTTTTCCACCACCAGAAAAAAAAATAATTTACTAAATGGACTCTAATAAAGTTATTTCAAGAACATAATCCTCAGATGACTTTGTGAAGTAATTTTAATTAGTAACAAACAGCTACTCTTGGAACAGTCCCAACTGCATTTCAGATGCAGAAGTTGATGAGAAGCCTGTCTCCAAGGGATGGCAGTGAAGTTCCATGCTCACTGTGATATGGGTCACATGGTATGAATGTCACACTGATCTCTCAGACCTTGAAGATAGATCAAGAGCATTTCTTCCTCTGAGTTCATAGTGCATTATCAGTTCATAGTGTATTATTAGTCCTTTTCTGGGCATGAAAATCAATTGACAATAAAATCTGTGCCCTGATTACATTCATCTGATCATTCACAGCCATCATGAGAAGAGCTGAAGCTTTGCAGGATCCAACTCTATTTTTTCTCTTGGTAACTATGTCACCAATTAATCATGATTCCACAGTCATATGTTGAGTACACTAAATATGAAAACATACATAAGGAGTTTGTGGGGGAAAGGGACAATTATTGAGGCAAATACAAAGCCATGCAGGATAGGATATACTTGGTAGACCAGTAGTCTCACGTTCACCTGGAAACTTGTTAGAGACAGAAACTCGTGGGTTTTATTCCAGATCTTTTGAGCCAAATAGTCTGCCTGTATGCCCAGCCATTTGGTTATTACGGACCTGCCAGATGACTCTTGTGCACACTAAAATTTGTGAACCACTTGTGTAGAAGAGAAACCCAGTATCAGGCTTCTCCAGGGTACAGAATCTATAGAAAATATATGAATAACTATGCAAGTAGATTTATTTGATAGACTTACAGGATCAGAGACAGAAGAGTCCATAATGGCCATCTGTGTACTACAGAACTAGAGGGAGGATCTAGCTGCTATTCAATCCAAGAAGGTAGAAGGTGCACAAACAAAGAGGGATCGAGAGATGCAACATCTGCCGGGGAGTTAGCTCAGTGGTGCCACTGTCTGCCTCGCAAGCGCAAGGTCCCGAGTTCGATCCCTGGTACCAAAAAACAAAACAAAACAAAACAAACTAACAAAAACAGAGATGCAACATCAGCCCAAGTTTCCAAGCCTGGAAGCTCACTGGAGAGTCACTGATGAGAGGATGAATTAGAGGGCTGAGAAAACTAGAAATATGGAGATAGATACCCAAGGACAACAGCAGCAAAGAGTCCTTAGCAAGCATAGAATTGTTCAAAATCAGGACACTTCCTTCTTCTTTCCCTGTTTACTCCATCCAAGCTACAAGTCTATTGGTTGGTGCCACCCACAACTTAGGCGTTTTCACCTCAGTTTGCTGGCCTGTATGTCAGTCATCCATAGACACATCCAAAACTGTGCTTTACTAATCTGCTAATGTTTCTTAATCCATTCAAGTTCACAATTAATGGTCACAGATCCCTGGCCCAGACTTCTGGATCAGGAAAAGCTTCACAGAAAAAGTGCATGGGAAAATGGGAAAATGAGTGTTCAGGCAGGAGATAGGTGCCTCTGGAATTCCAGAAAGAAGTCATGAATCACAACAGCATTGTGCACCAGTTTCTGTCCTCTGTGTAACACAGACAAACTCTAGCTATCATCAAAACCACAGGAAGAGTGTCTCATGATACCAGAAATGATGGTTAAATAAGGGAGAGAGAGAGAAGAGAGAGAGAGAGAGAGAGAGAGAGAGAGAGAGAGAGAGAGAGAGAGAGATGGGGAGGACACCTAGGTCACAGAATTAATGTATGGCTCAATCAAAATCTGACATGGTTCCACCTGCCCATATAGACAGAATTCTTTTCACTTGGACACTTCACTTGTCCATGAGGAGAACTGTTTTACTTGTGTCACAGAACAATGGGTAGCAAAAGAGATGCTGTACTTGAAAGCTCCTTGCAATTTCACAAACATCATGTCAAATATGTTTATGATTACTCTAATTCTTTCAGGATATGAAATCTTGATGAAAAATTGAATATCTTCACAAAGTCCATACTAGAATAGCTCTCATTGTTATTTATGGAAGCAAGTATGTAAATGAATCCTGGATATATTTTTTCAGCAGGTGACTTGGTGAATCTCTAGTAGGAACCATGTTGCAAGGATTTAGGAATGACACTGAGCCAGATAAATGTGTTTCTTGTCCACTTGGAGTTTATGTTGTAATACTCAATATCATTTTAAAATAACAGTGTAGGCAATTTGTCCAACATTATTATGACAACACCTCCTTGAAGTCTGTCAAAATTAATCCCATCCAAAATAGCTGAGTTGTTTACCAGTGGCCTCAGCTTGGGAACCATTCACAGGAATATGGTTGCACTCCAGCTGTTTCACTTTCGGAATATATTTGGGCTCAAAATCTACTCTTTTGAACACATTTACTTTATTAAGTTAGTGTTCTAATTTAAGAGAACACTTAAATTCCCTTACTATTGAGGGAAACAATGGGGGTAGATAATTTCAGTATTAACGAGACAAATATTTTTCTAGAATTAATTTTTCTTCTTATACTCCAAAGGGGGTGAGATTAAGGAGAAGAAAAAATTTTTAGAGACAATTGGGATGTATTAAATATGAAGACTAGGGCCTGGGATGTAGCCCAATTCAGTTATGCCAAGGCTGCCTGGCAAGAGCAAGGTCCTGAGTTCAATCCCAGGTACTGGGAAAAAAATGAAGTCTAATCATTGAGTAAATGCACAGTTGCAGATAAAATTGTAATGTTTGATGATTTCCAGAGAGAAGACAGACTAATTCTGAAGGAAATGAAAGTTTGGATAGAACAATTTGAAAGAGATTTGACGAGGGCACAAGTGACAGAATCAAATCTGCAGGATACATATCAGGTACTGTGTGGAAAAGAGATTTCCATTTTTCAAAAACTTTTCATGGGTAAGATTTTCATATGTCACTTAGTCTGTTTAATCTTTCAAATTACATTGATGAAAAAATCTGTAAAGAAATAATATGTACTATCTTAAATTGGGATATAATTTTATAATTATATTTGTATTTGCAAGGGCAGCTTTGAATTATATTGTGTCCACACTGCCTATGGAAGGAGCTCTGAAATGTCACTACTCTTGGGGACTCAGTCTTCCAGATGACCCAGAACAAAAGCCTGGAGTCTTTGTTTTTCTGTAATTCATGGTTTTATAGATGTTACCTAACACAAAAATCCACCAGATAAAGAAATGAATAACTGAGGCCTCAAATGACAGTTACTGCAAAGTGAATGGAATTTAATAAAGAATTGCTATGTGAATATTTGGGTGCATTAAAGAAACCTTCTATGATCTTCCTAGTTCTGCACCATTACATTCAAGTTGAGCTCAGAGTTGTTGTCCCCAATATTGCTACACTATCATTGATTGGATTTCTGATTGCAATTTTCACTTCCAAGACACAATGTCTTGTAACGGATTTTTCCCATTAAAACATTGTGATTACATTCTATGTCACATTGTTATTTTCCTCCTACTTAAAACAGTACTTCATTTTAGTGACAAAACTAAATATAGTGTATTCTGTATTAGATTCTATAGAGTGTTCAAATGTACATATTTCTGTTATCTCTGGCTACAAAAAAAGGTACAGTGATGTAAAAGATTTGACATGGCAGACAATAAAGGATTTAACCTTGGTATTGATGTGTGATTTTATATAATGATGTAAATATACCTAAATTTAAATGAATTATATCTACATTATATTTATTGAACATAGCAAAGCAATCAATTTGTGTTTATTATTAATGTGTTGTTTGTCTTTAAAATTCAATGTATTATTTTCCATTGGAAAATTTCTTGATGAGACCATTAAAACTAATTAAATAGTACATTGAGAACAGAAATCCAAGGACAGAGTGAGTAGAATTATTTATTGCAGTAGTATTAGTTTTAGCAAAAATCATCAGAAAGTAAATTGCAAGTTATAAAGTTTTCTGCTGTTGAGATGCTATGAAAAGGAAACCAGATTAGAAAAATATGAAACATAAACACTTCCTTTGGGCCAAAAGTGATCATTAATTGCTTAAAATTGGGCTTAGAGACTATCTGGATTGTAAGGAAAATTTTCTTTCAACTGTGCATCATGTGATCAGCATTTTCTTCTTATTTATTTCAAATTATGAATTTTTTTTCTGTACCGGGGATCAAACTTGGGACCCTACACTTGCAAGGCAGAAGCTGTGCCACTGAGCTAAATCCCTGGCTGACCAATATTATTATTTTCCAGTTTTTCCAATCATAGAATTCTTTTGGATAAAATTGGAGATTGATTTTATGTTTTGGTATCCTTAAAATTTCATTAAGTTAGAAGAAATAGGAAATGAACGTGTGGTAAAATTTTATTCACTATCTCCTCCCAGTGTTCTTCATGTAAATTTACATGTTTGCATGTTATTCTGAAATCCTTTTCAATGTGTTTTCGACTATATTCAGTAAGGCCATTCGCCTGTTCTGTAACATAGTTGCATATTTTAATAGTGTTTTTCATTCATATTTGGACTTGAAATTACATTTTTGGGATATGCTGATTTAATGTACAGTGTAGAATTTCTTAAAAACTACTTTTATTTTAGTGCTAAGCCTATGTTTATGTATTATGAATTTATTTTAACTATACTGTGGCATACTTAATATTTTAATGTCATGAAATTAAAGAAAAAGATTACTGTGTAAATAAATCTCCTAAAGTAACCTCTTCATAAAGCTTTGCTTGAACATAAATTTAGATATCTTTAAGCATTATTGTGATATATGTAATTTATTTTTGCAAATTGTTTTATACTTTAAAGTAAAGCAAATATATTATTTGCATAGATATATACTCCTTTTTACTAGTCTTTCTGAAAAACATGGACTGGTGTGTAAATTACTTAACGAAAAGGAAAAAAATCGCTAGCCAGTGATGGCATACCTTTTAGAGACTAAGTGCCCAAAGTGCAACTCAAAAGCCACTTATTTATTGCAAAAAGTAAACACTGCAAATAAACTTAAATACTGAGGCTTTAGTTTAGAACAAAATCTCATACATTAAAGTATTTTTTGTCTTAAAAGAAAAACACGATCACATGCATGCCATAGGTTTGCCACCACTGCGAGGCTTTAGTCCTCCCTCTGCTACTTGTCCCTGTTTTTAGTACTTGCCACTTTAGGGTTTAAGAATAATGCATGTAGCAGTGTGAAGAGACAACTCACAATGTGGGAAAAAATTTTCACCAGCTGTCCCTCAGACAAAGGTCTACTATCTTGAATCTATAAAGAACTTAAAAAGATCAGACCTCCCAAATTTAAAGACCCAATCTAAAAATGGGCATCTGAAATGAACAGACACTTTTCAGACAAAGAAGTAGAAATAGCAAATAAACATATGAAAAAATGTTCAACATCATTGGTCATTCGAGAGATGCAAATGAAAACAATGCTGAGATTCTACCTCACCCCAGAAAGAATGGCTGCTATCAAGAAATCAACCAATAACAAATGCTGGTGGGGTTGTGGGGAAAGAGGAACACTGCTCCACTGCTGGTGGGAGTGTAGACTGGTGCAACCACTGTGGAAATCAGGATGGAGATACCTCAAAGAACTAGGACTGAAAGTCCCATTTGACCCAGCTATTCCCCTGCTGGGTATCTTCTCCAAAGAATTTAAAGAATCATGCCACAGTGATATATGTGCACCCATGTTCATAGCAGCACAATCTGTAATAGCTAAAACTTGGAAGCAACCCAAATGGCCATCAACTGGAGACTGGATAAAGAAAATGTGGAGTTTTTTTTACGAAATGGAGTACTACTCTGCCATAAAAAATGAGAAATTAGAGACATTTATAGCTAAATAGATGCACATTGAGGCGATACTCTTAAATGAAATAAATAGGACACGTGTAAATACTGAATAGTTTCTCTGGTGTGAGAAACTGAAAGTGTAAATAAGGCCTAAAAGGTGTAATAGATAATGTGAAATGGGAAGAAAAGGGGCAAAGGGGAAGGGGAAGTGGGAGGGGTAGGGGAAAAGGAGAGAAGGAAATGGAATTAATATGAGAAAATGAAAAAATGGAAACAAACTCTTTGTAAATAGGGAGAGATGGAGGGGTTGAAAGAAGAGCAGGGGAAGGGATAAAAAGAAAAAAAGAATAATGCATGTCCATGTGTCAGGCTGAGGAAAGAGCCACAGAGCATAGTAAGAAGAAGCACTTAGCACTAGGTCAAATTCATAGTCAGGGCGTAAAGAATGGCACACGCTGTTAGTAACACCACTGCCATTAGTATTACCACCAACAGCATATATTGAATGTTCTCTATACATAAATAATTGCAATTTTTAAATGTGGTTTCCTTTTCTGCTTCTTTTTCTTTCTTTTTTTTCTTTTGACTCATTGCCATCCTATTGCTATTTTTCCTCTTTTAGTCATTTAAGCACTTCAGAATTCAATATGAAATAAAAAGGAAACAGATTGAACATTTAATACAGCCATTACATAGAGATGGTAAATTGTCACTTGACCAAGCTTTGGTAAAACAGTCCTGGGACAGAGTGTGCTCTAGGGTAAGTTCTCGCATGATTAATTTCATTACAGCTTATGTAATTTAGTCAAGAATAAGTTGCATCATCTTTTCCTACACAGTGACATTCATCAGGTCCTGCTGCCTCTGAAGCTGGGAAGGATTCACTATGGACCACCTTTGCCCTCTTGTCAGATTTTACTGTACCCTAATGGAAGTACTTGGTTCAACAGCTATTAGCCTGCCTGGGTTTTCCTACACATGATAGCTGTGGACAAGTGATAGATTGAAACCTTGGGAGATCTTCTGGATTACTTCTTACTTTACACAGGTTAATGCTGAATTGTTTAGAAGAAGTGACTCTTGTAGAAGATTCGTGGGAATGGAGAGTCAACCACTTCTCATATTCTCTATGTATCATCAACAGTTAATAATCTTTTGGTGTTGATGTAAAATTTTATAATGTTTAATACAAGCATCTCTTATCTAGTCATTCATAAATCTGAAGGAAAAGTGCTGAGTGTCTTCTATGTTAATATTCTTCATTATTTCTTAAAGACCTAGATTTCAAACATTTGGAGCTCTTCTACAACTAACAGGGATGTTTGATTTGAATTTGATTTGATTTGATATGTTACTTATTTTGATAACCTCATTTTTTCCACCAATTTCATCATCAATAGTACAGCAGACTATGAAATGGTGCTTGAGATTTGTGTAAAATGGAGAATTAGTGACAATGTTACAAAATTTTGGGCTTGTGGAAAGAATCCTAAAAAATCATCTTTGTCTAGAGCTGTCTAGATAACCGTCATTTTCTCCAAATTTGTTTTGATTATATGGGAGGTTTTAATCGGGATTTTAGTTGACCACCAGATACATACCTCTTGATATATAACTACTGCATCCTTTGAACATGTCAGTAAAACTGCTTCCTTTCTTTTAGCAAAAGCCACACTGAGAATTAGTGGATGCTTCATGCAATTCCCATAAAGAAGAAAATTGCTTAAGCTTCCTAGTAATATCTTTCCATGTCTAAGAAGAATTCTGTTTCCTTAGAATTTGCTCTGACTGAAGTTTTGTCCCTGTCTCCGTAGCATCAAACTCAGAACACAGATATTTGTTTGATATTTATTAAATTGCCTATATTCATTAATTTTAAGCCTTATATACAAACTTCAAAATTTTAGGAACAGTTTTCTGTATTAGAGGTGTTTTATTTTTCTATTTCTTTTTAATTTCAGCTCTTTGATTGGCATAGCCAGCTTGACAAATCACTCCCTGCACCTCTGGGCACTATAGGTGCCTGGTTGTACAGGGCAGAAGTGGCCCTGAAAGAGGAAATAGCCATTCAGCAGGTCCATGAGGAAACTGCAAACACAATACAACGGAAACTCGAGCAGCATAAGGTAAAAGTCCCATCTGAGAAGCTTTAGTGCCCAGCAGTAGTGATATGGTCTGGAGGTGTGGCCTGGTCAGACTGCATGGTGGGAGCTCACTGGTCATACCCAGGGCAGAAATGTCCTCAGAAGCTCCTCAGTTTGCTTTTCCTTTCCTGTGCTCATTAGTGAGGATTCCACTAGGCTGATTTCCTGAGACATTTTCCAAGAGCCATGGGGTATCTTTCTATCTGAAGCAGTTTGTGTTATTTCTATTGTTATATGTATTTTTTAGAAAATAAACTCACAGGTAGCACAAATTTACATAGCGACTGGCCTTGACCCCAGACCTCATCCCTGCCTTCACTTTCCAAAAAGGGCAGGAGGAAGTTCTTATGCCTTTGCTTTATGGGGTGGGGTGGGGAGAGATTAGAGGCCTTGGAGGGGGTGGAATCGGGGTTTCATGGCTCATAGTCAGGTGGGACCTTTTTGCCTTAATATATGATGAATTGTGTATAAGTTCCATTGTACTTCCTCTTGGAGTTTTGGGGTACTGCTGCCCTAACCAAAATCCTGTTTTCATTACTATCACATGAATGTAATGCTCCATTTTGTGCAACTGAATTTCTGTGCCCATTCACTTTGTCTTAGTGATGGGGTTTTACTGTATGTGTGGAAAGTAAACTGATCAACAGAGATTTCTACCTCTGACCATAATTAGTGGCAATTCATACACACACACACACACACACACACACACACACATCTTTCCCTAAGTAAATAGAATAGACTCTTCTTTATTCTAAACTAGAGACAGAAATGTCAACTCAGACCCCTTTTAACTCAAGAGACTCAACCCCAGACCAACTCATAAAACAAGTCAGTGTGAACCATCACTCTGGGTCCTGGCCCCTACTTACTCTTGGCCTTTTGTCATTTACACTCAGTGTTTTCAAACAATTTTGCTTTTATTTTTTTAAGCTTTATTTTATTTTTAATTGACATATGTGTGTGATTTTGATACACGTATCCATTGTTGAATGTGATCAAGTCAGGCTAGTAATACTATCATCACATCAAATATTCACATTTCTTCATGGTGAGGACAGTTAAAATCTTCTCTTTGGCCATTCTGAAATATACAATACATTTTTGTTAGGTATAGTGATTGTGCTGTGTGATAGAGCACCAAAACATAGTCTTCCTGTTTAACCTTAACTCCATCCTCTTGGTCTAATGTCTGTCTCCCTTTCCCTGGCCACCCCTGCAGCCTGCTCCCAGCCTCTTATAACTACCATGCTATACCCTACTTTTATGAATTTAATTTTTTTCAATTCTACAGTGAGATTGATTTTTTGATTCTTCAGTGAGATTGATCATATGGTATTTGTCTCTCTATTCCTGGTTTATTTTACTTAACATAAGGTCCTTCAGGTTCATATAGCTTATGACAAAATGGCAGAATTTTCTGGGTTATTTATTTATTTATTTGATACCAGAGATCAAACTCAGGTCCTTGCGCTTGTGGGGCAGGTAGTTGAACCACTGAGCTAATTCCCGGGCCCTTCTTGGTTTAATTGAAAGGCTGAATAATAGTCCATTGTATATATTACACATTTTAAAAATCCATTCATTTATTGATAAACATTTAGGTTGTTTCCATATCTTCATTCTTGTCAGTAATGCTTCAGTGAACACTGGAGTGGAGATTTCTTCTTGGGATATTGATTTCAATTGTTTTGGGTACATACTCAGTGATGGAACTGCTGGATTATATGATAGTCCTATTTTTAGTTTTATGAGGAAACGCCATACTGTTTTCTAAAATGGCTGTACTAATTTACATCACCATTAATTAATAGGCAGGTTTCCCCTTCCTCCACATCTCTGCCAATACTTCTTACCTTTCATATTTTAAATACTAACCAATCTAACAGATGTAGAATGATATTGCATTGTAAGATTTAAAGTGTTAAACATTTTTTCTATCTATTGATCATTTTGTATGTCTTCTTTTGAGAAAAATTTATTTAAATCATATGCCTATGTTTAATAAAAATACTCATTTTCTTCTTATTATTGGTTGAGTATATTTTGAATATTAGCCCCTTATACCAGCTATAATTTGAAAACAGTTTCTTCCTATCTGTGTCACTATATTGATGATTTCCTTTGCTCTGGAGAAGACTTTTAGTTTAGTACAATCTCATTTTCTTATTTCTACTTTTGTTATCTGTGCTTTGGGGGTCATATCCAAGAAATTACTCCCCAGGCCAAAGTCATGGAAATTTTCACAGAGATGTTTCTTCCAGTGGTTTTTATAGTTTTGGGTTTTACATTTATATCTTTAACCTTTCTGAGTTGATTCATGTATAAATGTGAGATGAGGGTCCATTTTCTCTCTTCTGCGTGTGGATATTCAATTTTCCTAACAACATTTATTGAAGGGATGATCTCTCAAAACCTTGTTTTCTTGGTAGTTTCTATAAAAATCAACTGACTAATGTGTAGGCTTATTTCTGGGCTCTGTATCTTTTTACTTTCGCAGTTGGATGTTGAACCCACAACCTTATGCGCTAGGCAAATGGTCTACCACTGACCTGCATGCCCCGTTCTTCTCTATCCTCTTTCATTGGTCCATGTGCTCAGAGACACTTTTAGATTTGCTAATTATCTCTTATCCCCTCCCTTCTCTATCACTGCCAGCACACACACACACACACACACACACACACACACACACACACCCCTCCCTATCATCTGGCTGATGACAGCATGACTCTGAGGTCTGCTCCATCTGTGTAGTTGCACACACAAACCCCAATCTGTTCTCCTGAACCTCATTTATCCACATGTGGGGGAAGCTGTGAGGGAGCCAGAATTCATGCCTTGGTTGAGATCAAGTCACATGAAGATTTCCTGGGATTGAGCCAGGTTTAGGCTTCTCAAAAACATAGACAGAACACAAGTCTATTTTGAGATTCTCAGTATATTAAAAGTAGGGGAAAGTGCTAAACATGGTTTTACAAATAATACTTATCTAACAAATCAATAATTAAACATATAGGCTATACAATAATTTCCCTTCATGTAAAACAGGTGGCAATTGAAACTGCTTTGACCTCTATGAATATTCAATACAAAAGAAGTTACTTTAGAGTTTTAAATAACATGTAGAATATGCATCAGTTATGAGTTAAATTGAACCAACTTGTGGCACCAGGGGACAGGTGCAGGTGACAGTCAAGGTTTAGCTATTTGTAGTGCCTCCAAACTATAGATTTGAGAAACATCCCTGTGTTTTTGTTTATATAATAGATTCAAAACTGATTTACATGTTTCACATAGAAAAAAATGTCCTACCATATAACTGTGTTATTTACCAGATAATTGTAAGGTTTCACAAAAATATTAATTCAGGTGGCATGGGCCCCTGATGGAAAATGACTTTAAATTGCATGGTGTGTACATGAGTCTGTGTATTCCATGCCTATATGATTGAGGGCCTTTATGAGCCATTCTGGAGAGAGAGAGTCAGAGAGAGATGGAGAGAGATGAAGGGAGAGAGATGAAGAGAGATAGAGAAAGAGAGGGAAAGAGAGAAAGATAGAGACAGAGACACAGAGATGGAAAAAGAGAGAGGGGGAGCGAAAGAGGGAAAGGAGAGAGAGAGACAGAGAGACAGACAGAGAGAGAGACAGAGACACAGACAGAGGAAAAGAGAGTGAGCTGTGTCAACCACTACTAAGAACACAACTAGAAAATTTTCCCTACCAGAGTTTAGTAAAGAAGCCATATAAACCTGAAATGAAGTGAGCAGGGGGACACAGAGTGGAACAAGAGACAGAGAGGATGGTTATCTGAGACTAAAAAACTAGAAAACACTAAAGATAAAATGATTGAATACAATAAAGAGACAGCAGGAAGCCAGAACAGGCAGGTAGGAGGCAAGGCCAGGTTTAAAGTACATCTCAGAATGATCCTTTTATCAAGATGGAAACTTTTACTAAGCCTGGACACAAGTACTTAAAGTGGCAGAGTCGTAAAACAATGTCATTTTCAATTATGAGATCAATTCCAATTAATTCAAAATATACTTATTAATTTCCTCTAATAAGCTAAGCTTTGAAGATGAGAAGTTCAAGATAAGAAGATAACTCAGTATCCTCAGTAGCATGACATCAGTTAACTCCCCTGGGCTGACTCACAGATGAAATCAATTGGGGAAAACACAAATACAGGATTCAGCAGATGCATAAACAGGAATGTTTGAGAATGCTCTTTTCATTCCTATGTAAAAGGTAATTCTCATTCTCATCAAGACAACTGAAATATGCCATAAAAATGTAGAATGCTTGGTTTTCTCCACTCTTCATGCCTTCTTTTTGATTTGGTACCAAGGATCGAACTCAGGCCCTTGTGCTTGTGAGGCAGGCAGCAGAACCAATGAGCTAAATCCCCTGCCTTAAAAAAAAAGACAATTTACTCACTTAATACATAGAATTGGAAAATTGGTTTCAGATAATTTTTAAATGTATATTTCAAAGAATTTGCTTTGTGAATGAATGTCCTTTTCATGACTTTTTGAGAGTTAAGTTACATGTGTATCAGAACACCTTCATTCTGCAAAGCAAGGGATCCATGTATTATCTTTTCTTTTTTCTAGATACTCAGGTATCTAAAAAGATAACCATAACCACAGCTAACTACAAAGGAAAGCTTCACAATATTTTGGTCCTAAGAATTTAATTTTTCTGAAACTGTACTATGACAGATGGACAGATATGAAATTGGTGTTAGTGTTCTCTTAGACATATGAGTAAATTGAAGGCATAGAGAAATTAAGTGACATAGCCAAGACCACGTAGCTGATCATTCCAGTCATCTGAAGCATCATATGTCCAAACAGACATTACATATAGGATATGCAGAGTGATTATACCGACTGTTTTATTACCTGTATTGCTTGGCAAAATAAGACTTTAAAGTCTTCAGAATCATGAGAATAGCTACTGACCCCACTAACCTAC